TGGGACCTGTCCCAACTCTAATGTGAGGAGGGGGGCCACCCAGGCACACGTTGGATGGGAGACCTCCCGCCGATACTCCACATGGTCCACCACCTCGTGTGCACCACCCACCCCTGAGGTCAGGGGCCACTGCTCCTTAGTATCTCTGGTTCTGAATCCTGGCTCCCTCCCTACCTTTGCTTCTTTCCATGCGTGTCTGTAGAGTTTCTGTGTCCCTTTTGGGAAAGTCGCGAAGCTGCCTTGGTGTTTTCTTCACCTAGGGTCACTGTTTGCTTTGTCCTAAGATGGCCACATTGGGCCGGGATGGATGGCTGAGCTCCTCCGTTCTGTGTTACTCCTCTTTTGCTGCTTTCATTCACTTTTTCCTTCCTGTCGGTATTTGGTTCAGTTTGTAGACCTTCTTTTTTGATGTTCAGGGTTGCTGGATTGTTATCTGCTTCTGTTTTGCTTGGTGTTTTGGGTCTTTGGTGCAGGGGGATGTTATGGTGCGTGTGACTAAGCTGCCATCTTGGCTCTGCCACCTGATTATTTTTTTGATCATACATACACTTGCATACATTTGCATATGGCAGGATCCTAGGCTGTGACTGCTGTTCTGTTCCATATGATGAGAAGAAAGATGTAATGAGAGAAAGTCAAGACTTTCATGAACTATGGTAAACAGAAGGACTAGTAAGGAATCATCAAGGAACATTTACATGAAACAAGAAAAACGAGTATTAGTGAGTATTGCTTCTGACTTGATTGTTGTAAGTTGATGAATTTTTTGATAGAGAAAACTAGGTTAAATACTAAGAGGTTTTTCTAAGTTCTCTCATGTTATCATCTTTTAATATTACTAAATATATTGAGTATTCGTAATAGTTTTGATACATGAAATTCTCAAATCTTTATTCCATATTTTAAAAATAGGTTGGACAGGGCTAAGTGAATTCCTATTTCCTATTCTTTCATGCATTCATAAAACATTTGTTGAACATTTACTATATGCCAGTGATATACTCTACATATTTTGGTCAGTGTTGTGCCAGTAATAAAGTCAGTAACTTGAAGGTGTGTCTTCATGTTTGCAAGTTACTAAGGTATAACCACAAGGCTCTAATAGCAATATGCTATAGTAACATGAAGAAATAGTCAATGGTAGGGGCCAGGGACATTGTTATACTTAAAAACAAAACAACAGCGTGAACAAAAACGAGAATCTTTTCTGAACTTGACATACTAATTCTGGTTGACTCATTTCTTTTAAGTTTGATCTGCCATTTCTCAAAACTCGTAGATGTCAGCGTTGATGATCTGCATGTCTGCATTTAGAAATGTTTGAGTCTTTGTCCTGATTTCCATGTCAGAATGCATAATGGTTGGTTTGCTGAGCTTTTGTCTAGCCATTAAGTACTATATTTTTAAAGCAAAACTAGTAATTTCTAGTTTTTGTTTGCAAAGTTTGTAAGGGCTGAAATTTCTTTGTGGTTATGGAGAGAAGGTGATTGTTTTTAGATAACTAACTATAGTTATTCCTCAAAGTACTGTTTGCTTTACTGTCTACTGGTGGTTGACTCTAAATCAGAGTGTTTCAACAGTGGCACCAGTGGTATTTTGGACCAGGTAATTCTTTGTTGTGCGGGGCTGTTTTGTGTGTTGTCAGATGTTTAGCACCAACCCATGTCTCTATTCACTAGATACCAGTAGCATTACCCTCCTCACTCAAATTGTGACAACCAGAAATGTCTCTAGCACTGCCAAGTGTGCCTTGAGGAGCAAAATTACTCCCAGTTAAGAACCACTGCTCTAAATTCTTAAAGCTGACTTATTGACCACAGTTGTTTGTAAGCTAACCACGGTTAGTTGTGATACTTGGTGTGATGTTTCTGTGAATCCATAAAAGTTTTTATTTTGATTGCTATTGCTTCTGTTCCCTATATCTGAAAATCTTGTCATCCAGCCCAAAGGAATTGGTTCAGGATGAGTGGAGGTGGTAGATGTACATATAATTCATAATAGTGTTCCTCTCATACCTCTTCATATTCAAGTATGGACTTTAATTAACCTACTAAAAAAACTGAATGTGATATCTAGACCAAAACACATTTAATATTAAACCTTCAGCTCTATAACCCTATTTCAGACTTGCAAAGAACAAACAAGTCCTCTTGATTTGATTTACTTTGTAAATTGGACAGATACATATCAGATTATGATTATTTTAGTTTTTGTTGTTGTTGCTGTTATTTGTTTTTAGATTAAGAGTTGGTTTATTTTAAGATTGTCAGATTTGGCTGATAAATAGCCTTAGTTTTTGCCAACAACATGGTGCTGTATTGGTTTGGCAGAGAGGTTACTTATGTTCACACAGCTAGTAAGTGGAGGAATTGGGATTTGAACCCAAGCTTTTCTGATTGATGCCAAAGACCATGCTTTTACCTCTGTACCAGTGTTTTCTTGAAATTTAATGTGTATAGGAATCACCTTGGGATCTTGTTAAAATGCAGATTCTGACTCAGATTTTGAGTGGCCCTGCAGTACTGCATTTCTGACAAACTCCCAGGTTATGCCAGTGTTTCTGGTCCTTGGACCACACTTTGAGTACTAAGGCTCTTTGCTGTGTTCCTGGATTACTAATTTTTCTGTAGATAATCCTCAGGGTGATTAACCCACAAAATTTTTAATCTACTAGTGAATATTCAAGAATTGAATTTTTCAGTGATTTTTCTTCATATTAAGCGATGTGTATTCACATGCTAGAGTTGAGGAGCTTTGTTTAACTGAACTGGCAGAATTGCAGCTCTTTATTAAGTGAATGCACCTCAAGCACAGTCCCAACTCATCTGTCAGTGGAGGCTTGTGTATTGCTGTGCTACTGAACAGGTTTCAGCAGAGTGTCCAGATTAAGACAGACTAGGAAGAAGGGCTTGGCAATCTACTTCTGAAATGATCCCACTGTGTGTGGGCTCGACTTGATGGCAGCTAACAATAACAATTAAGTGAATTCTGGGTACTTTAGGAAAGTAAAACGGGTGATCCGAGGGTAGTCTGTTGGAGGAGATTGAGTGAACATCTACGTTTTTCATCGATTGTAAGGTGTACATTATTTTACATTTTAATATCTCTGAGATTGCGATGTGTCTTACAATTGAAAGCATTTTACCATCCCTGAGCTTGGCGTTTGGCTCCTGCTACTTCTGGCCACCCTCCCACTCCATAGGGAATGGAGCCCAAGAGCTGCTAAAGTGAGTACTTGGCAGTTTCCCCCTTCTCTGCCATTCTAATTGTATTCCCTGACCCCAGTCCTCAGTTCCTTTGTTTTGTCACTGTTGAATCTGAGCCTGGGAGACCCTGGGCTACCAACTCAGGGATTTTTGTATAGATTTCTTTTGTCCATTACTTGACTCTGACATCTGTCAACTGTAGTATTATATTTATCACAGATTCTTTTTGTGTTGAGTTGGGCAGGGACTTCTCTGGGGCTGAGGTGAAGTCTAAGAAAGATCTTTAATAAACATTCTAAGGGATAAAGTACTTCCCATTCTTCCTTTATTGGCAGCATATTTCTTTCATGATGGTATACAAATAAACAGTACATTTTCCAATTAGTGGTCACTTGGGCTTGATAAGATTTATAAAGTTAACATAAGTTTAGTAGAGAAAGAACTGGATTTGCAGTCAGAAGGTACGAGTTAGAGTTCTGGCTCTGCCACTTACCAGTTAGGTGACATGATTCTTCTAGGCTTCAGCTTTCCCAGGTTTAAAATGAGAGTTGAACCATATGATCTTCAGTCTGAATTAATTGGATTCTAAGTGCTTTATTTTGAAGTATGAGGACTATGTTTTAAGAATATAGCAGGAGTTATTAATTTTTACAAGCTGGAATGTAGGAGGAGGCATCTAGGCTGGGTCTTAAAGGGAAGGAATAGTTTTGGTAGAAGAATGGAGGAAAGGGTATTTTAAGCAGAACAGACAATGCTAGTGAGGTCATGGAGTACTTTTAAAACGATTCATAAACTTTAAGACACCTGATATAATTACATTCACATTCATCTTTCTAGGCAGAGATTATCCTTAGTAAAAGTAAAGCGTTCTGTTGAAAGTAAGATGATTCTTCTTGGCTTTTTAAAAAGATGATTCCTAAAGGGGGTGTCTTCGTTTTTGGCTTTTGAGAATAGAATGATAGTTTCTCATTAGCTGGATTAACTAGATGTAGATACCATAAAAATAAAATGAGCTATAAAAAATACTGACTATGCTAATTCTTGTGTATTTGAGTATGGGGGGGCAGGTGAATAACAAAGGTATTATTGGTAAACTAATGGTTTAAAAGAAAAATTCGAGTTATAATATCGCTCTATTGCTTTGCATATGTGGATTACTTTGGATAGAGATTCTTTGAATTGGGATTTGCTATGGACACAGAAATTTTTAGTTTTACTGAATAGGTACACCTTGAAAAGAAAAAAAAAAGGCTTTTATATGTCTAGTCAGCAATTGTAGGTAGGAATTGCAAAAGTGAAGTAATTAACTGCAACTGGATGAGCTGTAATTTTTATTGTGGTATCAACCAGAAAAATTGCAGGCCTGAGGAGTTTCTAGGTTTGGTTTCAAAGTTTATGACCAGGCACTGTTAGCTGGGAGATTCTGGAACTGGGAATTCTAGTCTCAATTCTGCTTGACCATCTTGTGTTCTCTTGGGAAAGTTTTAAAAATTTCCCTGGATTGTGTTTATCGCAGTATGTAAGATAATCCTCAGCTTTAGCTTGTTTCACAAGAAAATTAGTTAATGAATGAGTAAAGCTTAAAATGTGATATCCTTATACATTCGCTGAATGATAAAGCCAGTTTTTATTCCTGAAAGACGTATGCTAGATTTTATAAACGGTAGGTAGTAAGGCAAAATTATTCAGTGAATTTAGCTACAGTTTCCATTGAACTGAAGGCAGTTTGGTTCTGCATTCTATACGCAGCATTGATTTTTAGTGTTTTTTCCTTTGCCTTCTTCCTCATTACAGGTGGTCCGTACTGAGAAGAACAGTTTGAACAATCGATTTTTGCCCTGGAATGAAATTGAGACAGAGGCCATCCTGTCTATTGATGATGATGCTCACCTTCGCCACGATGAAATCATGTTTGGCTTTCGGTGAGAGGCAGATTTTCAATCAAGAAACACTTTAGTTTGCAAGTGACACAAAACTAAGTCAAACCTGGATTAGGCAGCAAAACGAATTTCTTGACTGATAACCCACAGCTGTTGAGTCAATTCTGACTCATAGTGACCCTATAGGACAGAGTAGAACTGCTCTATATGGTTTCCAAGGCAGCTGATCTTTATGGAAGCAGTCTGTCACATCTTTCTCCCGCTCTTGGTTGATAGTAACTGAGAAAACCTCAGAGGTAGTAAGGCTCACTTAGGGCATAGCTGCCTCCAGGTCTTAGCTGATGTCGAAGGACTTTATTTATCTCCATCTCTTTGTTCTTTGTTGACTTGGTTCTCATATAGGCTCTTCCTGTGAGGCCAGGAAGCTGGGGTTAGGTCATCCTCAAATCCCAAACCATGTGGACTGAGAGTGGGGGAAAGGGATAGTTCCCTAAAACAAATTTTAGATTTTTGTTATTAGAGGAATGGGGAATAACTCCCAGGCAGACAGAAGCAACATGTTTCTATATGTTGGAGCAACAGCACATTGCCAAAATTCTGAGGCCTAAAAAACTTGGGGAAAGATGGAGAAGTAAAGATCCAAGAGGACAAGGAGGAAGTGGTGGTAGTGATTATGATGATGGCGCTTAATACTTGTTGAACCCATACTGTGTACCAGGGACTAGCTGAGAATTTTTCCCCAGCTTATCTCATTTAGTCCTCGTAAAACTTGATGATATAAGTAGTAGTTATCACCATTTTTATATAGGAGTATATTGAGATCCAAGAGAATAAAGCCATGAAGCTAGAAAGTAAGTGGCAGAACTGGGATTCAAGCACGGGTTTGTCTAACTCCAGAACTTCTATGTCAGCTACTAAGCTATACTGTTTTTTTTTTGAACCTTAGTAGTTCTTATTTGGGCTTAAATATCCCATTTGAGTACACATTTCAGGTAAGAGAATGGAGTAGATCAGAGCTGTTCAATGTGCCATGGACTGCTATTCTGGTCCATGGACAGTTTGTTACCTGTCCACAATGAGGTAAGTACAAAAACTGAGAGTAAGCATTTAGAAACTTTTAAAGCAATTTGACATTTTCCATGACTTCCAAGTGTGTGATCATTTTTTTTCAGTTCCTTTTTTTGTAACAGCTTTATTGAGATATAATTCACATACCATAGAATTCACCCATTCATTGTTTTTTAATATATTCACAGAATTGTGCAACCATCAACACAATCAATTTTAGAACATTTTCATCACCACAAAAGAAATCACATACCCATTGAAATCACTCCCCATTTCTCTCCAAACCTCCAGGCCTAGGAACCACAAATCTACTTTCTGTCTCTGTAGATTTGTTTATTCTGGACATTTCATCTAAATGGAATCATATAACATGTGGCCTTTTATGACTGTCTCCTTTCACTTAGTATACTGTATTTTTACACAAATAACACGTGTTCTACACTTTTTGCCAAAATGGCCCCCCCGCCCCGGGTATTTTTGTAAGCATGCTGTTATGGATTGAATTGTATCTCTCAAAAACGTGTCAACTTGGCTAGGCCATGATTCCTAGTATTGTGTGGTTGTCCTCCATTTTGTGATCTAATGTAATTATCCTGTGTGTTGTAAATCCTAACCTCTATGATGTTAATGAGGCAGGATTACAGGATTAGGCTGTATCTTGAGTCAGTCTCTTTTGAGATATAAAACATAGAGGCAAGGAGAGAGGAGAGGGACCTTCTGCCACCAAGAAAGAAGAGCTAGGAGCAGAGCATGTCCTTCGAACCCGGGATCCCTGTGCTGAGAAGCTCCTAGACTAGGCAAAGATTGATGACAAGGCCCTTCCCCCAGAGTCAAAAGAGAGAGAAAGCTTTCCCTTGGAGCTGGTGCCCTGAATTTGGAAGAATAAATTTCTGTTTGTTAAAGCGACACACTTGTGGTATTTCTGTTACAGCAGCACTGGATAACTAAGACATGCTATGCTAATTTTTTTACAGCAGTATGCAAAAAAAAGTAGAATGCACGCATTATTTGCTTAAAAATACATTGTTTTCAAAGTTCATCTGTGTTGTAGCATATATCAGAACTTCATTCCTTTTTATTGCTGAATAATATTGCATTACATGGATTTACCATTTTTTGTTCATTCATTAGTTGATGGGCATTTGGATTGTTCTCTACTTTTACTATTATAAATAATCTGCTATACATTTTTGTATGAACATATATTTTTCATTCTCTTGACTATATACCTAGGAGTGAAAACATGTTTGTACCAAAGGCTTGTACACGAATGTTAATGTTTTAATATTTTGAGGAACTGCCAGACTGTTTTCCAAAGTGGCTGCACCATTTTACATTCCCACCAACTGTGTATGAGAGTTCTAATTTCTCCACATTCTCACCAGTACTTGTTATTATCTAACTTTTTGATGAAAGCTATTCTAGTTGGTTGAAGTGGTATCTCATTGTGGTTTTGATTTACATCTCTATGAGGGCTAATGATGTTGAGCATCTTTTTATGTGCATATTGGCCATCTGTATATCTTCTTTGGAGAAACGTCTATTCAGATTTTTTGCCCGTTTTTTTAATTGGGTTATCTGTCTTTTTGATTATTGAGTTGTAAGAGTTCTTTATTCTAGATATAGGTCCCTTATCAGATATATGATTTTCTCCCATTCTATGGGTTGTCTTTTCACGTTCTTGATGGTGTCGTTTGAAGCACAGAAGTTTTTAATTTTGAGGAAGTCCAGTTTGTCTATGTTTTCTTTGGTTGGTTGCGCTTTTGGTGTCGTACTTAAGAAACCATACAGTTCATGTTTATTATATTTTATGAAAGTATTAATCCACAATAAATTTGGAGGAAATCAATTGTTCACCGCAGATAGTTTGAGAAAGGCTGGAATAGATTTCCATAGAGGACTTACTCAAATTAAATATGGATCTCTGATAGAGAACTCTTTTCTGTGCTTTCATTCCACTCACTGAAAGCGTAACCTGATTTACCTCGCTCTCAGTCTTCTTTTGGCTTAGGTTTATAAGTGGAGATGTTCAGATGAAGGAGCAACAGCTTTCTTAGCTTTATCTGTCTTAAATATATATCTAAGGAATGATTTGATACATTCCTCACAAATTAGACCATCTCCTCCTCCTCTCCCCTGTCCAACTTCTCACATTTCCTTTGATCTCCTCCAAGTATATTATTCAAGCAAGATTTTGTTACTGTGATTAAAAAAAAAAAATCCTGCTTAAATTGGGAGATGTTTCTTTGTACCATGATAATAAATAGCTCTCTCCACTTGCTTTTTTTTCTCTACCAATTTTTATTATATTTCAAAACATGTATATGGATGCATAGATTTTTAAAAATCAGATATATTATAATCAGTTACTAATACTATTTCTTTTTATGCTCAAATTATTACAGATTTGTTAGTAGGAGCCCTTTCGAACTAGTTCTTTTGTCTTTTTTGATACATCCTCATTAGTTTCCACTTAGTCTTATGAAAGAAAAAAAAAAAACCCATGTAATGATTAAACAACTGGTCTGTGTCATCACAGTTGTTAGGGGAGAATTGCTAATCACCCCTAGAGCATAAGAATGATTGAGATAAGATGTCCTGGTTTGACGAGCTTGACATTTATTAAAATAGCTGGCATTGGCTATCTTCTTTGGCTCCTGATTTAGCAAGACTTTTGACCTTTTCCATGCCGTTCGTCAACAGATTTACAGGTGATGAGAGAATAACGGGCAGCTTTTTAATGTCTTAATTGTGGAAATTTGGGATTTAACCTCTGGTTTTGGGATTGGTAAATTGTCTCAGAGTATATATTCTAACCTTTTATCAACTTGACTCTCTTCTTACTGGTTTGGGCATCCTTTGATCTAAAAGCTTTCTCTTATCGCCCCAATCTAATTATTACACCCAAATGGCGATGAAACAGACCTAGGTTCAAAAGCAAAGGGCAAGCATAACAAGAAACATTCCCTGTGGCAAAAGCTAGTATGTTTAGATTTTGCAAACTTCAACTTACGTAGCCAAGAAAGAGGTAGATGTGTTCTAAAGGGGACAGAAGAAAGGTGACACCCAAGACACCTGAAACCATATGTCCACTCAAAAACTTGTGAATGTTTATAGCTGCATTATTTAGAAATAGTAAAAAAGGATAAACAGATCCCTGCCAATGAACTGGTACATGGAAAACCAAACTGTGGTATGTCCATACGATGGATTACTATTTTACAGTAAGAAGAAATGAAGTACTCATACACGCTACAATATGGATGAACTTTGAAAACATGTTAAGTGAAAGAAGCTAGATACAAAAGAACAGGCAAATCCATGGAAACAGAAAGTACATTAGTGGTTGCAAGGGGCTGGGAGGGGTGACTGCTGACTGGTATGGGGTTTCTTTTTGGGGTGATGAAAATGTTTTGAATTTAGATAGTGGTGATGGTTGCATAGCTTTGTGAATATATTAAAAACCACTGAATTGTTCACTTTAAAAGGGTGAATTTTATGGTATGTGAATTGTGTCCCCCCAGAATATGTGTTGGAATTCCTAACCTGTATACTTTTGGTTATAATCCCATTTGGGAATAGGTTTTCTTTGTTATGTTAATGAGGCACTATTAGTGTAGAGTCTGTCTCATGTAAATCTCTTTTGAGATATAAAGGACATATTAAGCAAGGAAGCAAGCAAGCATAGATGGGGGATGGGGTGAAAATAGATGCCATGCCACATGAGGAACACCAAGAAGCCAAAGAACAGAACATGAAAAGAGACAAGACCTTCCCCCAGAGCCGACAGAGAGGAGAAAGTGTTCCCCTAGAGCCAGCGCCCTGAATTCGGACTTCTAGCCTCCTAAACTGTGAGTGAAAATCAATTTGTTTGTTAAAGCCATGCCCTTGTGGTATTATAGCAGCAGTAGATAACTAAGACAGTGTAATCTTCAGAGAAGTTGTGAGATTGTGGACTGGAAGGTAGGTGTCTC